CCCAGGGTCACACAGCTGGTAAGTACCTGTAAGATTTGAACCCAAGTCTTCCTGACTCCAGGTCCGGCACTCTGTCTACAATCTAGCCCTATCTACCTTTTCAGTCTTATTTCTAAATACTCCCAGAGGCATTCTGGTAGAGTGCAAAGGACAGGTTTGAAGTCATAGGGTTTGGGTTGAAATCCAAATTCTACTTACCACCAGTGACCTTACTAGGAAAGTCACTTTACCTTTCCAGGCCTTAATTTCCTCATCTGTATAACGAGAGGGACTAATTTCTAAAGGTCTCTTTCAGCTCCAAATCCTATAATCCTATATTCATTTCAATCCTACATTCCTCCTCCCCAAGCATCCCACTTCCACGCTTTCACTCACACTGTTTCATTGACTGAAGTGCCTTCTCACTTCCATCCAAATCTTATTCATCCTACCAGAGTTGGTTCAAATTCCATTTTCTCCAGAATGCCTTCCCTAATCCTCCTTTGAACAGGTACAACAATTTCTGTACAATCCACCAACAATTAATCATGCACAGTAATGCTTGTTCAAGTCAATAACACTAAACATTTATTAAATATCTATTATATGTAAAGAACTATGGTAGGCACTGGAAGAGATTTTTAAAAATTAGATAAGATCCAGACTGCCCTCATGCAGCTCAAAGTTAAGAAGCTCAAACTGTTATTTACATCCTAGACTGTCATTTAACTTACTTGCAGGTCTGATTTCCCCAAACAGATGCCTTGAGAACAAAAACAGGGCATCAGATTTAGAGCCAGAGAGAACCGAAAAGGATGTCTAGTTCAGTCTCTTTGTTTTATGAGGCCCAGAGTGGTGAAGTAATTTGATCAAGGTCACACAGTGAGTCAGTCAGTGACAGAAGCTGGGGATTTGAACCCAGGTCCTCTGGTTTCAAATCCAGAGCTCTTTCAACTATAGCATGCTGACTCTTATTTTTCTTCCTTCACTACTTCCACCAGCATCTAGGACACTGCCTTTCACACAGTAGGGCTTCAATAAATATTTGTTGAATTAAATAGCAAACACGCATTAAATATTTGCTGGTCTGATTTTCTTGATTAGTAATGAAGTCCTAAAACCTCGACTCTCATATGATGAATCTCTCCTTCTCCTCTCCTCTTCCTCTCTCTTCCAAAATATTTACAGTGGAAGCATTAGGAGGCAAAGCAGATGAAAACTGCATAGGTACACAGGGTAGAAATAATAACAAGAATAGAAAGGCCACACGGAAGAGGAGGAAAAGCACTTGATCAGGAGTCAGAAAACTTGGGGTCTGGTACCAGCTCCCCATTTACTATCCCTATTATCTTGAGCAAGTCACATTGTCACTCAGTTTCCTCATCTGCAAACATGGATAACAGACTGCCTACCTCATAGTGTTGCTATGAGGATCTAACGCAATAACGTATGTGAAAGCACTTTACAAATTGTGAGACAATATACAAATACAAGGAGTGGTGCTAACAGCAAAAAATAGCAATAGTGTCTGCTTTTTAATCATCAGTATTTTGCCAATCTCAATATTTTATACTGCTTAAAACACCACTGGAACTTCTCCCCTCCTTACATCTCTCATTCTCTGATTTATCTGCTCTCCACACATGGCACTAAGGGTTTTAAATACATTTACTAATGCATACATGACACCTAGTGGCAAAAAGAGGGTAGCCACAGGCTTCCCCCACAAAACAGCATGTGAGGGAAATGTTGGTCCACTTTCCCTCCTTCTGCATTGCAGGGAACTGAATGTATTGTCATAATCCTTTGCTAACGTTTCCAAGTGGATGCCTGGCTATCATCTCAAATTCAATATGCCTAAAATTAAATTCCTATTCCCTTCCCACCTGCCTCCAAGCCAACCAATACCATTTTGCCTCAACACCCAGATTGAAACTCCAGATCTACCTTTGACTCCTCCTTGTCCCTTGCTATGCATATCCAATTCAACTCAATAAGCATTTAACTGTCAGAGACAGAGGGGGGGGGAGGGGGAGAGGGAGAGAGAGAGACAGACAGACAGGCAGTATAGCTTAATGGCAGGATAGAGGATCAGCCTGGGAATCAAGAACTGAATTAAAGTCCTGCATTTGACATATATGAAATGTAGGACCATGGGTAAGTCACAACCTATCAGTAGCCCAGACACTAAGATTATGTTACAGAAAATCTGGTTATCAGCATTAGTGGTGGGGGGTTTCCACACCAATAAACTCACAAGTCCAGCCTCTCTACTCCAAAAATATTCAGACACAAAGTCTTGTCAGTTTTTCTCTTGAAATGTCTCTTCTTAGATCTGCCTCTTCCTTTTTATTGTTTGCCACTGCCCGAGTTCAGTGTCTGACCTTTGTTAGCCAACTCAACCTGCACACTATCACCAATTCAATTTAATTAAATGTATTTATCAAGCACCTATGTGCAAGGCACCGTGTTAAGTGCTGATACTGGGATGAGCATGTCCTATCTCCCCAGCTTGTACATCAGTCCCAGCAGTGAATTTCCTTCAAGAATTTAGCACATTATCTGCACAGAATCGGTACCCAATAAATATCTGATTAATGGTCTAACAGTAGAGCTGTTTTTTTTAAGCAGCATTTCATAAGCATTCATATACGTGGCAGAATGTATGCATACATGTTTGTAAAACAGAACTAAAATGTGTACATCTCTACATATATACTACTTCATGTATCTCTGATTTACTTTAGATTGCCCAAGACAATTCACTACTCCTCTACACCATAGGACATGGTCTTCATAGGTTTCTATGGCTGAAAAAAAATTCAATACCCTGTGGCCAACCTTCTGGTGATGAGCCAGAGAAACAGACGCACAGATTTTATAACATGTTCCCAAATTTGCCAACATTCTCTTACAGTTCTTCAAAAGAACTGGTAAAATGCCACTAACAAGGAATTTTATGCCCTTTGACCTGTGTAGGACAAGTACAAAGAAATATACATTGTTATTTCCCCTCAGGGTTCATTTCTATTTTCTCAATTAAAAAAAAAGGATAAAAAGGTCAAAAGGCAGTATGGTATTTACTAGGAAAGACCCTCGATCTGCATACAGGAAATCTGTGTTTGAATTGTTAGCTTGAGGTCTCAGTTTCTTCCTTTGTAAAATCAAGAGGTCCCTTCTACCCCTAAATCTTACCACGGCAGAGTGAAATGCACATCTGGGTTCAAGGCACAGGAATACAGATTTAGAGCTGGAAAGGACTTTAGAATTCATCTAAGCCAACCTTCTCATTTTACAGATGACAAAACTGAGGCCTAGAGCAGTTACATGACTTGGTCAGAATGACACAAGTAACAAATATCAGAGACAGAATCTGAACCCAGATCTTCATGATTCCATATCCAGCACGTTACCCACTATGCCATGCTGCCTCGAACTGCTGTAGAATTGGATAGGATCAAGGCTCTGCTACTGGCCAAATCTTTTCATCTGTCTCAATTCCAGTATAATATATACTGTAATTTTATTGTAGAAATTATTGTAAATGGGGGGAAATGTGAAGTAGCATGACATAGTATGAAGAGAACTGGACTAGGAGTCACCAAACGCCTGGGTTCCAATTCTGCCTCTGACACTTAGTAGGTATGTAATCAAATATGGGTAAATTGTTAGCCCTCAATGAGCCTTGGTTTTCTTCTTTATAAAATGTGGACAATAATTATAGTACCTACTCCTCTGGGGGTTGCTATGAAAATCAAATGAGGTAACACTGGCAAAATATGTCCTATCAATCAACAAGTATTTATTAAATGTCTACCATGTGCCAGGCTCTGGGGATACAAGTACAAAAGGTAACAGAGGCTGCAAGTGGCTCAGTGGATTGAGCATTGGACCTGGATTCAGAAAGACTTGAGTTTAAATCCTGCCTGACACACTTACTAGAGGAGCTGTGTGACTCTAGGTAAATCTCTGTCTGCCTCACTTTCCTCATCTGTAAAATAAAGATCATAATAGCATCTACCTCCCAGGGTTGTTGTGAGGATCAAAAAAAAAAAAAAAGAGAGAGAGAGAGAAAGCAAACCTGAAAGCACTATAAAAACCCTAGCTGTCATCATTTTTATCATCATCATTATTAACAGGCAGGCAACAAGCATTTATTAGGAGCTTCCCATTACCAGGCACTGTAACTGTTATCCTTATTCTTTTTCAGTCCCCATCTCACAGGGCTGCTGCGAAGGAAGGAAGATGCTTTTCCACCCTCAAATGGGCTTTGCGCTTATTACGATCCTATAAGGGACGCTCTTCCATCCTACCTCACCAACCCCAATCGTGCATGTCTGACTGCTGACGGGAGCCTGCGAACAGGAGGGGGACTGTGAGTTTTCACATCCCCAGGAAGGAAAGGGATGGTGCACTAGGAGGCAGCTTTCTGTTCTGTTGGCCGAGGCTGGATTAGATGACCTCTAAGTCCTTTCCAGTCCTGAGACTGGGTGAATTCTAACCCCCGCTGGGGGAAAAAGGAGCCTGCCTCGGCTGGGGGAACCCATTTCCATCCTTCCATTGGCCCCTTTCTGGGCCTCAGTTTTCCCTCTCAAAGGTCTCTGGCATCCAAGATGCCAGAAATCCAATCCAAGGCTCGGGGCCCTTTGCCTGCGGTGCTGGCCTGGGAAGGCAGCGCCCAGAGGGCTGACCATTGCCGGCCGGCCACCCCCCACCCCCCCTCCGTCCCCTCCCCCGGGGCCGCCCCTCTTCCTTCCTTCCTCCCCTCCCTCCTTCCTTCCTTCCTTCCGCCCTCGCTCGCAGCATCCCGGCCCCCGCCTTCCCCGCGGCCAACTTCCCCGGGAACCGCCCCCAGTTGCTCGGGCTCCGGAGCGGCCCTCAGCTAGCGCCGAGCCTGCCGTGCGGCGCGAGCCCCGCAGGCCCCCCACGTCAGAGCGGCGGCGCGGCTCAAGCGAGCCCCAGGCTTCCCCCGCGGCCTAGCCCCGGCCCCGGCCCGGCTTCGGCCCAGGCCGCGGCCTCACCTGTGCGCCGGCGGGCGGGCCCGGGACTCCTCCGGAGGCTGGGGGCGGGGGCAGGTAGGACAGTAACAGCTCCGCTCGGCCTCGGTAGCGGCGGCGGCAGCGACGGCGGCAGCGGCGGCGGCTCCTCCTCAGCGCGCGCAACCCCGCTCCGGCCCAGCGCAGCCCGGGACCGCCCCCTCCGCTTCGACCGCCCATTGGCCCCTCTCCGCCACGGCGCTCTTCTCATTGGGCGACGCGTGTGTCACAGGGCCTCGCGGGCCGCGGGGAGGCGGGACTTCCTGCCGCCGGCGCTGAGGACGGAGGCGCGGCCTGGGGGCTAGCGGCAGGCGGGAGGCGAGGGGATCCTGGGCGGGCGCCCAGCCCAATGTCAGCGCCTGGGAGGCGGGTCTCCCTCCTCCCCCCCCCCGCCCCATTCCCAAGGCTGGGAAACGGAGGAGGCCCAAATCAGCCCGGATCTAGCGTCTCTGCCCCCATCCCCCACCCGCTCCGCGCCGCCCAGTGTATGGGGGTGCGTGTGCTCCCAGCGAGTGCCCGGCTGTGCGTTCCCCGGGGGAAAGGGGGGGTGGGGGGAGTGTGCATGGGTGCGTGCACGGGAGTGCATCCCCACCCCCCAGGATGAGCGTGGAGGTGGGTGCTCTCCTGCTGGGGCACCCGATGGTGGGTGGATGTCTGCCCACTCTCTTCCCCGCCCCCATCCTACGAATGTGGGTCCTATGGCTACACTAGGTTCAGATCGGGAAGGAGCCTGAGAGGGCATCTCATCCAGCTCTTTCGTTTTCCAGAGGAGGAAACTGAGGTCCAGAAAGGTTAAGGAATTTGCCAAAGCTCAGCTAGGTTAAAAGACCCCCACCCCACCCCCCAAAAAAGAGGAGGGGGATGGACAGAGGATATTGCGTCCTGAACAAGAAATGGCGGGGATTTTCTACAGGAACCCAGTAGTTTCTGACCCACTTTCAGGAAGGCTTAATCAGAGAAAGGAACTGCTTAGGTTTTAAAGAAATGCCAATTTAATCTCTGCACGTAGGAGAATTAAGGTAGACCTGTAGGGGCCTTTGGACTAGACCCGACTGATTCTCATACAAACTCATGGAGGGCAGGGAGCCTGTCCTGATATTTTTATCTTTCTCCAGCACCAAGAACAGCACCTCACTCATCATCAAAATAATCGATTATCACCATCACTTACATTTGAGATACATATAGTGCTTTCCTCACGACAACTTTGTGAAGAAGTTCATAGTTACTAGAAGGACCAGGAGGCCAAGTGACTCAAAACCAGCTTGGTCCTTCAGGAGTCATTCTTAAATTCCAATCCTATCAGACCGCTGAAATTATCTCTGGTGGCCTGAGTGTTACACTTGCATCTAAGGCTTAGAGAGGAAATGTAAATTCTTCAGGAACACAGAGCTCTTTAGTGTTGGTTTCCACTTAATAAACTTTCAGTTGAATTGAATTAACTGGGGTTAGTGCTGTAAGAATTGGAAGGCTAGACCCACCAATAATAATTAGCTGGCACTTAGTCCCTTAAAGCCTTAGTTTCCTCCCCTGTAAAATGGAGTAATAATGCCTGCCTTGCCCCCCTGGGGTATTGTGAAAATAAAATGAGATAATGGAAGTGTTCTTACAAAGTATAGTGCCCTAGGAGCATAAGTGTGGCAAAGAAAAAAAACACAGACTGGGAGTGAAGAGACAGGATCTAGAGCATCCTCTGAACCTAGTGGACACAAGAAATTGACCAAGGGGTTTTAATTCCTTGTCCTGGTTTTGTCAACTGTAAAACCTAAGGTTCCTCACAGATCTGACATGAACTTTATGAATTGTTCAGTCCTTTCTAAAGGAAAGAGCTCTATTTGGAGTTAGGAGGACCTGGATTCCAATTCTGCCTCAGGCATTTACTGGCCATGTGACCCTGTGCAAATCATTTAACCTCTGGGCTAATAACTTTCACCTCTTTGAACTTCAATTCCCTCATCTGCAAAATGGGAATGCTAACTTCAACGCCTACCTCCCATGACTAGAAGAATGAAAATGAATTAATGTATAGAGAGTGTTTTGCAAACTTTTAGCAATCAACAATCATTTCCTTAGGATCCCAGATTAAGAACCAGAAGTGATTTTTAGAGGCCTTTGAGTCCAACCCCCTCATTTTATAGTGGAGAAAACCAGCTTAGAGAGGCTAACTGACATACCTAGGGTCATTCTATTTGTGTCTGAAGTAGGATTCAAATTCAGGTCTTCCAGACTCCAAGCTCAACACTCTGCCCATGTTATGTAATAACCAACATTTATATAATACCTCAAAATTGGCGATGCACTTGACATAGGATTACAAATGTGGAATTGGAAAAGACCCCAGTGATCATCTAGTTCAGCCCCTTGGCTTTACAGATGAGAAAACTGGGGCCCAGAGAAATCAAGTGACTTGCTCAAGGTCACACCGTGTCAGAGAACTTTGAATTCAGGTCCCCTGATGGAACGGTCCTATAGTGCCTCCTACATCCATGGCATTATTTGAACTTTGCAACATCACTTGGAGGTAGTTACCACAAATATTATTATTATTTTACATATGGAGAAACTGAAGCTCAGAGGTTAAAACGTGCCCAGAGTCACACTGCTAATGTCTGTCAGAGTCAGGATTTGAACCCAAGTCTTTCCAAACTCTAAACCCAACATTCAGTCCACTATTCCAATCTATATAATGTAAACATGTAGATAATAAAATGTCAACTATTATTCCCAGTAGGGGTACTACATTCTATTTTTTAATTTTAAAGACAGTAGTTTCTAATTACCAGTGTTTTTACATAATATAATGAGCCAAAGTATTTCTCCCTTGAAACAACAAATATTTTGAGTGATTACTATGTTCATAACAGTGTTAGGCACTTGAAGGAGATCCAAAGTATGAAGATTGGGCCATGCCTTGAATTAACTTTGTTAGGGAAAAAAGTCCTGCTCATTGAAAAAGGAACAATGGCATGAGAGAATTAAGCCAGCTCTGAGGAAATGTTCATGCTGATGAGAGTTGTTAGACTCTGAAATGGGTTACACAAAGGGGATGTGGAACCTTCTGGAGGTCCTTAACAAGAAAAGATTTTTACTTGTGTGTTCTAGTAACTTCCTGCTTTGCTTCAGCTGCCAGCCTTCAGAAGGGGTAGACCAAGGCATATCAAAAAGTCAGGGTCCTAGTATATCCTCTCTTTATAGTCACCTCAGCTGATTTCAGGAAAGGCCTGCAGAAGAATGGGCTGGAATAGCAGTTCTCAAACTCTTTGGTCTCAGGGCCTCTTTACACTCCTAAAAATTATTAAGAACTCCTTCCCTGGGAGCTTTTGTTTCTGTGGATTATATCAGGATTTACCGTGTTCAAAATTAAAATGAATAAAATTTTAAACATTTCAAATAACAATAACAAACCCATCACATGTTAACACAAGTAACATACTTTTAAAGAAAAATAAATATTTTCCAAAACAAAAAAAAATTAAGTGAGAAGAGTGGCATTGTCTTATGTATTTTTGCAAATCACTTTTAATATCTGACTTAATAAAAGACAGATGGATTCTATCTGCTTCTGTATTCAATCTGTTTTAATTTGTTGTTTTGGATGAAATATATAAAGAAAACCAAGCCTCACACAGACATGTAGTTGGAAAAGGGAGAATTACAATAAACAAATAACTCCATAGTATTATTATGAAAACAATTTTGCCTTTGTTGGCCATGTTCTTGGACCACACTTGAAGAACTGCTGGGTTAGATGATCTCTTAGTGATGCAGCCCTTACTTTCATATGACTAAGTTGTCATTTTAAAAAAAATTTTCCCCAATAGACAATATGCTTCTAGTAGATCAGGGGAACATGATAGCCATCTTCAAGTACTTCAAAAGGTTGTAATGTGAAAAAAAGAATTAGATATATCCTGTTTGGCCACAAAAGCAGACCTGGGAGCAGTGGGTGAAAGTTGTAAGGAAGCTACTTTAGGCCACTCATAGGGTGTGTTGTACAGTTAGGGGGATGCTTTTTGGATATGGATTAGATTAGATGGTCTTTGGGGTCCTTTATAACTGAAGAATTCTGTGAAATATACAATTACTAAATGCTACAGGCTAGAAATTCAGTGGAAAGAGAGATGACTATGTTAAGGTTATTTGGCACATCTTCACACAAAAAGCAAGAATTATGATGGGCCTTGAAGATTGGTTATAATTTAGGCAGAAAATAGAATAAAGAGAATGTACCTTCCTCACGGTAGGGAAGTGCATCACAAGCAGACATGTTGAAGTGCAAATAAATAAGGCTTATTTAGGGAACCAGCCTGACCAGAAGTGGCAGGTTCATGTTAAGGAATAGTGATAAATAAGATTGGAAAGATAGATTGGGGTGAAATAATAAAAGAATTATTGTTCAATAAATAGCTTTTATCCTGTAGTCAGGGGAATAACAGTGATAATAAGAGTTCGCATTTATATAATGTTATAGGGTTACAGAGGGTCTGACATCAGTCACTTCATTTGATTTTGACAGCAATTCTGGGAGTTAAAGGTAGTGTGTTAGTTCCATTTTACAGATGTGATTTTGAGAGCTTTACATGCCCAGAGTCACAGACCTAGTTAGTAACAATGTTCTTTCCACAAAGCCTCTATCAAACATCACTGAGCCTCTCTACGATTAAAAAAAAAAAGCATTTTTTAAAAGGAATATTCATCTGATTTAAAGTACTTAAGAAAGGCAGCTTGGTGGTAGTAGAAAGGTGTGAATAGAGCAAAGACCTTGCCTTAGAATCAGGAAGCTGTGAGTTCAAGCCTTGCCCTTAGCACACACTGTCTCTGTGACCCTGGACAAATCACTTTAACATCATTGTGGAACTCTCTGAGAACAGAAATTGCAGTGTAGTTAGTTGTCTATCTGAACTGGGAAGGAGAATTTCCTCATGGAAAATGGCCTATGAAGTCACGAGTCTGCACCCAAAAAAAAGTGTTTTATAAAAGTTTCTTTTAAGTAAGCTATTATGACCTTCTTATCTAATTTGTACTATTAATTTTGCTTGGCAAGTCTGTTAGAATCCATGGCAAAACTACAACTACTTTTGT